AGCTTGCTGCAGAAAAACGTGTGTGTGTGTGTGTGTGTCATGGGACATATTACCAACTGTTTCAGGTCTATCTGCACCACTCGCATCCGTTCCTATTTCATAGTGAAAAAGAAAACGGTGTGTGTTCAATGCCTAATTAACAAAGGGATCTGTATTGAGAACTCTGGCAGATTGGACCTGGTGTTTGGGATTTGAACTGTCTGGTAATTAACCTGGCCGACCGCTGTACCCTATACATCCTGCATATCATACAGCAAATAAAACGGAACAGATCACTCCTAATTATCAAAGTGGCTTGCACCACCTTTGGTAATTAGGAGCAGGATCTGCTCCATTTTCTCAGCTTGGACGTCTTGATGCTTGCGCTCCTCTTTTAATTCCCCAATTTTGCACACTTTACGGCTAGACAGGTGATGCATGTCACTCTAATGAAGAAATCCACCTTCCTGGTTCAGAAAGGTGCTTCCTGTGTCACTTCTCTGCAATAGGCTTCTTCATTGGATGGTGAATCAGCATCATCACCTCTGTCCAGTTCGAACTGACCCAACAAATAGTAATGCTGAAGCAGAATATAGTTGGGTGATCTTTCTCACTAACAGAGAATAAATGAGGAAAAAAAAAAAGTTTTGACACCTTTTTTTAATGTATTTCAGATGGAGCGCTATATTCTGCCACTTTGCTTAACTTCCTGGGGACGGAGCCAGTAATCCAGCGAAGTGTGGGGCAGCACAGTGTCCTGAAGACGGAATATCTGGCAACGTGGCTCAATGGTGAGCATTCAAAATTTTTTGTCTTGATCATCTATCGTTTGTTTTCATCCTGTCTCTTTTGGACGTCTCCTCTACCCTACATGGCCATTCCATTTTGTTTTCTTCCCGATCTCCTTTTTGCCCTGTGTCTACTGATAATCCATGTCAGGCTTTAATCCTCCTCGCTTTTCTCTCCGCCAGGACCAAACTTTGTGGGCTCCTCCCACATCCTGGAGAGTGAGAATGATTTTGGAGATGATGACAAAATCTATTTCTTCTTTACTGAGCGGGCGCTGGAATATGATTGCTACAGTGAGCAGGTTGTCTCGAGGGTGGCCCGAGTCTGCAAGGTGAGTGCAATCTACAGGAATGTGACATACAATTATTTTTCTTTAGCTGATGATTGAGCTAAGGCAGGGAAATTATTTGAGTGCGGAGTCTTTATCTCACCCGGTCTATGCTAACTGAACTAAGCTGCCTGTAGATGGCGCAAATTCAGATTTGAGGCATAGGTGGCCCAGCCAGCTTGACAAAAGTAAAATTTAAAGGTGTATCAGATGCAGTCACTGTTCAGGTATTCAGACAACTGCAGGTTCTGCAGCTGCTGAAGACCTTAGCCATCCATGCTGCTTAGTATGGATGGGGAAATTTTAATTGTTCTCTCCTTTTTTTTTTTTTTCCTTATTCAGCTCATGAACAAAACGTGCCATGTATGGCCAGCTTTGAATCCTGCAATATTGGAATTCATGCTTTTGCTGCTTCTGCATGCAGTTTAGAAAGAGGGATGTCAGAACTTCTAACCTGCATAGTTATTTCAGGTCAATGACTAGGAAATTGAAGCCAGGTCATCAGTATATTAGTCAGGCAACTAGCATTTTCAAAAGCAGAAATGCTCAATGACGGCCTACATTTTCTTTTGGTACAGTGTATTTCCTTATTTCACTTGTAATGGACCACTAAGTCATATTTTCTAGGAGAATTTTACAAGAACTGGACTATTACATGCTGGTTAATATAGGCTGCAGCAGAGAAAAGCCAGAGCTGTTGTCCATAGCAGCCAATTTTAGTTGTTTTTTTAATTATATATA